CATTTGATTCATTTATTACATCCTTGCTGAATAAAAGTATAAATTTCTTTAAAAAAAAAATCTTACTGACACTAAACATTATATATTTATGCTTACATTATGCTTTCTTTAAATACAGGGCTGATTCTAAATCACCCAAACCTTGACCCCTTGACCTGCAGCAATGTTTCAGAATCTCACAATAAAAGATGGACAGGTGAATCTAAAAAAAATGTTTTGGTTACCAAAGAGCTACTCATCTGTAAGCTTATTCATTATGACTCAGCACGGGGTCATGGGGTGTATCTTGCCTGTGTATTTATGATTTATTACATTTTATTTCACTGTTTGGCACTGAACACTGACCCGACAGCAGGATTCTATCTTTCTTCTTTTTTTCCTTCTCTTTAGCCTATTAATATCATCATAGCAGCTCGGATCCACATAAACTTTTACATTTGGCTCTTTTAATAGCTGCCATTTCTTTTATGTTTTTACTTTGACGTTATTTTGCAGAAACTGTAATAATTGAAAAAAAAAAGAGCTAATAGAAAAATCTGCTGGGGCACCCAAAAAAAATCCCAATTGTTTTCATGTGACACGGCAGAGGGGCCTGGGTGAGCCGTAAGCAATCCTTAAGTGTTTTCATTTCAAATTACAGATCCTGTGAAGAGACGCCACTGCAAACTGAACTGTGAATGGGCGGAGAACAGCAAGGACTCCCGCTCTGACCTGAGGGGAAAAGCACAGTCCTGCCAAGAATACAAAGAGTGCAGGATGACAGCAGCTAGGCTGACCAATCCCACATTAAAAGTGTCAGCCTGCTTGCATTGAGGGAAAATGGATTGCCTCTGTGAGATCAAAACTCCAGTCTCCTGATGCAAGAGGTGATTTTGCATTTGCATGCTGAGGCTTTAGGGCCTTGTTAGTCCTCAGACAGATGTTTAAACATAGTAAACATCAGTGAATGCTCCAACACTGATCACTCATGCCTGTAAAATACAGCAAAATGCTTTTAATAGAACTGATGCCCTTGACTCAGCTTTACCAGAGTCTTTGTAATGCTTCCTTTCCTCTAGATTAAATCAGTCTCTCTCCACCCCCTGGTATAATGATTGTGGTATTGAGTGTCTAAATTGCAGCATAATGAGAAGGCTGGAGGTGCAGTGGATCTCTGCATTAGTTTTGGTGGAATTATTTGGCCCCAGCCTCAAAGACGGGTTCACATTTACGAGAGACTCTGGCACAGGCCTCTGGGGGTCTAGTACAGGACTGCTGTTGTTGTTTTGTAACAATGTGGGTGTGATTTCCCCAGAGTTGTTTGACTTCTGATAGAGAGAATGAGAATTCTGTGGAGCATGCAGAGCAGTTAATGTAAGCCATGTTTGGGTAATAGTTATTTGTTTATGAGTGTGACTGTGTTGGTAACCTGATATTAGTGTGATTCAATCTGAGAAAAATTAACATGTTCATTAATTCTAAGAAGGCAGGAAATCCTTTACATTACATCACTAAGGTCTGCTGTCATCATCCCTCAAGGCTCAGCGGACATGTGTTTTTAACATGCATTAGAACGGTGAGATATCTCTGAGGTCTAAGACTGCTGCGTTATGGGCTTTTTTAGTGTGTATGTCTATGATGTGTTTCAGAAGATGGTGTAAGCTTGTAAACGGCAAATAATGATAAAGCAAGAGCCATCATACAAGAGTGTGTCATACACTCACATTCAAACTAAGTGTTCAGATGCACGTTAGAAGTTTGTTTTCAGTCAGACTAAAGCAATTAATAGACTAAGGCAAAAAATGTGTTTGTTATAAACTCACACTCTCAGACTTAGTGTGTTTATATTAGGGTGACCATATGTGCCATTTTCCCAGGACGCGTCCTGGCCAGGATTTCTATATTGCCTAAAATATCTAGGTTTTGACTTTGTTTGTGTGTGCAGACCGATCGGTGTGTGACATCAAAGTACCATACAGACGGTTATGCTTTCGAAACGCTCTCGAGGTACTTCGATGTCAAACACTGATCAGTGCACTGCTTTTAAGTCGAACACACCTAATATGTACGCGTAATTGCGTCGCTTTACCGTAGATCCCACCTTCTCACACGCCATGATTGGTCCATTATGTACAATGCTTGCATGTTATTGGTCAAACTACTTTTCGATCATTACCTTCAGCAAGCATGAAAACAGGAAAACAAAGCCAAAACAAATCCTGGCCAGGACGCGTCCTGGGAAAATGGCACGTATGGTCACCCTATTTTAATATCATGTGTTGTCTTATAGTTCTGTGAATAAAACCAACATCTACATGTTTGTTTAGGAACCACTAACAAGACACACCCTTTGAAGTTAAGATAGAAGAGCGTATTTACTTTACATTGATTGATGTATTCGTTGACATTTCAATATCATGTGCTGTGTTATAGTTTTGTGAATAAAACCAACATTTAAATGTTCGTCTATGAACCAGTAACAAGACACACCCTTTGAAATTGAGATGGAATACTGTATGTTTTAAAAATGAATGTTTTAACAGATTCAAATTTAATTCAATAGCGTGCATCCTGAATTACATATGATAGTAAAAGATGGCTGTAAATATTGTTCTTTGAACAAGTAACAAGACACACCCCTTGAAGTTTAGATATCAAACTGTGTGCATTCTAAATTAAGTTATTTAAATTTCTGAATGTCAAACTTGGTCAAAACATGTGCAATATATTCCTCTAGGGAGCGGTAAACTGCAGTCTTTGTAATGCTTTGCAAGCTTTTTCTCAATCGTTCCATTTCAATAACTTTTGTTGTGCTATAGTTCTGTGAATAAAACCAACATCTAAATGTTCTTTTATGAACCAGTAATAAGACACAGCCCTTAGATTTGAGATGTATTTTTTAAATACATTTCACAAATGAAGCATTTAGATGGAATAATTGTGCTTTTTGCTCTTCGTTTTGCACTTTGCAGACGGTCCCTATTCTGCACCTTTACATTATGCGGTCTATCAGTTACAATACCTTAAGGCAGATTAAAACAAATAAAACACATTGTGTTCTCTTCTACATTTGAAAACAATTATAACACATTATGTTTCTTGTCCTTGTGCTAAATCGTTAAAGAACTATTGAAGATTTCCGAGGCTGAATCTCTGACAAATGTCAAACCTCAAACGTCGAACCAACTTTATATCGGTGTCTCTCGCCGCCCTGAAGAAAGCGCTCGCTGCCGGTGGCTACGGTGTGGAGAAGAACAACTCCGACAACAAAGAGCCTCAAAAAAGCAAAGAAACCAGCGACTCCTAAGAAAGCAGCCAAGAGCCCTAAAAAGGCCAAAGCAGCCAAACCCAAAACGGCGAAACCCAAAGCTGCTAAGCCTAAAAAGACAGCAGCCAAAAAGAAGTAAAATCGATCATCTGTGGTTTATCAGATCGGCTCTTTTAAAAAGCCACCCACTAATTCATAATAAAGAGCACTGATTACCTGTTCAATGAGGCAAAATAATGGTCTTTAAATGTGCCATAGAATGCATTGATACAATATTTTAAATTGTTCTCTGATATCTACATAGTATGTGACTTAGGTAAGGGCAAAACATCTCCAGAAACGGTTTTACATGCCCATTTACAACCCTAGGATTTGTCTCTAGAATGAAATGGTCTGTTATTACCTTATTTGGAAGGGTCATGAATAATAATGTTATTCAAAATGTTTAGCTCTGCTCTGATTGGCTGTTTCGCAGTGCGGCTCATGTTGAGCTCTGCTCTGATTGGCTGTTTAACAGTGCGGCTCATTTCAGTAGCTCACACAGTAGGAAGGAAACACAGGGACAATATATATTTCAATACTTTCAATACTCGCAGTTATATCGTTGGGTAATTATACTGTATATAAAATGCGGACATCAGGGAGCCGCTATTAATATGTGGGGCATTGAAATACCATTGAATGCACGATCGCGTTTTACTTTCACTTTCGAGATTTGCGATCGCACGTGCTGTGTAAACTACAGCAGCAGTACTTACCACACATTTTACAAGATCAGATGCTTGTCAGTGGTGCTCAGGATCTGTAAATCATTCGCCATCATCCTCAGTCATCTCTCCTTACTCTGTTTATGTGGTAAGTGAGATCTAATGTAGCCTACTGTAACATAACCTGCTAGCAAGCAGCTAACCATGTCCCTTTAGTCAGTAGCTCGCGTTATTTTATTAGAACGCGTTATTTGCTTTCCGTGCCTTTCTGAATACAGACACCAACCCATCCCTGCACTTCACATCCGCTGCACAGCCCAAGTGTGTCTGTCTGCGGACTGCAAGACAGGGGCATGATCTGCCATTTTCGCTGTTGTCCTCGCTTGTTTCTTCACAATACCCAAGTAGATATAACTCCTGTCATGGCGCTGCAGGAGGCTAGCGAGGCTTATTGGGTCGGTCTGTTGGAGGACACCAACCTGTGCGCCATCCACGCCAAGAGGGTCACCATCATGCCCAAAGATATCCAGCTGGCGGAGAGCGCGCTTAAACCCACAGCCGCTTCAGCCGCACAAACCCCGAAGCCTCTTTTAAGAGCCGTCTCAATGTTTCTATGAAAGATGATTTCCTTTAATCAGTTGCTATGAACGTGTAAACGATTTGAACGGGTCTGAACTATAGTTCATGATCAGGATATATTATCAAAATGGTAGTTTAACTGAAGCACGTTAAAATAACATGATAGGTAGACTGTGTTCTAGGTGGTTTTAAATCTAAGTTGCTGCTTTTAACGGAATTAATGACAGTTTAAGTTGTCAGAAATACTTTTATCGTTATACTATTAAGTTTAATAAAAAATATAAATGTTATTTAAACCCCGTTTATTTCCACAAAGGACTGCAAGACAGAACTGGACTCGGATTAGACGTAACGAGTGACGTTTAGTTGAGAACCGCCCATGATCGTGGTTTCACCGAGGTCCTTTAGCGAAGTATAAACTAACTTCACTTCTTCTACATTGCTATTCTCCGATTGGTTTCGTTTGTGTGAGTTGAAAAGATAGTGTCAATATGTCTGGAAGAGGAAAGGGCGGTAAAGGGCTCGGTAAAGGAGGCGCTAAGCGCCACCGGAAGGTGCTCCGGGATAATATCCAGGGCATCACTAAACCCGCTATTCGTCGTCTCGCGCGCCGCGGCGGCGTCAAGCGTATTTCTGGTCTGATCTATGAGGAGACGCGCGGCGTGCTGAAGGTGTTTCTGGAGAACGTGATTCGTGATGCTGTGACCTACACGGAGCACGCTAAAAGAAAGACCGTCACCGCCATGGATGTGGTGTATGCTCTGAAGCGACAGGGACGCACTCTGTACGGATTCGGAGGCTAAGAGCTTCCTGAACAAAACTAAACCCCAACGCCTCTTTTAAGAGCCACACACGACTTCACTCAAAGAACAAGTTTCCGAATAATAATGTTATTATATATATTATTAAAAAAATGTTTTCAGTTTGTTTATAATAGTTGAGTTTAGGTTGATATTTTTAAAGTATTTTTTTATGTTTTAATGAATATAGTGTTTAGTGTTGGTGGTCACATTGTTCAAAAGTTATGTAATTATTCAACGTTTTGAGGAATAAGCACTGATGTATGTGAGATATAGATCAGTGAATCTAAGTATTTTTCGAAACGTGGAAATGAAATATAATCATTAGCTCATTAGTTATTGTGTTATATTTAGGTTACCAAAACTTGTTCACAATATTTCATTCATTACCTTGTTCCGAAAAAAATGCGGGGAAATCAAACAAAGGCACGGAATCGGATGGAGGATGATCGATGTACAGCATGAGATTGTGGGCGGGATTAACATTTGAAAGCCTCTGATTGGCTTTAGTGTGGCCAATGAAATCATTCTGTGGGTTGGTTAATGGAGACACGCAATCACAGACCGCCGTTTTCCCTTTTAAAATTAGCATAGAGCAGTGCATAAAAACCCGTGTGTTCCAGCGAATTTATTTTACTTCGAGTAATTTTAACGTGAACATCATGCCTGAAGCAGCGAAGTCCGCGCCCAAGAAGGGCTCCAAGAAGGCCGTCCCTAAGACCGCGGGTAAAGCAGGGAAGAAGCGCAGGAGGTCCAGGAAGGAGAGCTACGCTATCTACGTGTACAAAGTGCTGAAGCAGGTTCATCCTGACACCGGGATCTCCTCCAAGGCGATGGGCATCATGAACTCTTTCGTTAACGACATCTTCGAGCGCATCGCCGGTGAGTCGTCTCGTCTCGCTCACTACAACAAGCGCTCCACCATCAGCTCGAGAGAGATCCAGACCGCCGTGCGTCTGCTGCTGCCCGGAGAACTGGCCAAACACCCGTGTCTGAGGGCACCAAGGCCGTCACCAAATACACCAGCTCCAAGTAAAGCTCGTCTGATCTGATCAGCGAACACAAAGGCTGTTTTAAGAGCTACCCATACTGTCTTTAAAAGAGCTTGATATTACGTTACATTACATAAACTTTGCCTGGCTAAATTAAAAGAGCTCTCATTATTAGTCTTCGTAGTGATCGCTTAAAATGGCATTGTGTGATTTACAGTTTATTTATTTTTTTCTTTCTTTGCTGTGAACGTGTTAGAACACTTGTAGAATTTACTGCTAAGGGAAACCGATAAACGTTTCATTGACTTATTTTTGCTGTTTTTTCATTTTTCGATTTAGTTGCAAATAGGGCTGTCAATCGATTAATTTATCAATCGCATCCTTTTTCTGTGATTTAATCGCACACTTCAATGAAACTAAGCATAGACCATTTATCTTGTTTCAAATTTTTATTTTGTCATCATTTGCTATATCCAGCAAAGTAAACCAAAAGATTGAAGGGTGATTCTCAAAAATCTTTATTTTCTGCAAGCTTTTTTCAAGATAAATTTAGATGACTTCCCAAAAAAAGGACACTTAGAAACTCCAAAAGGACACCAAAGGACCAAATGCTATAAGGAGCCCATATAAGCACATATGAAAAGAAAAAAACAAATCAGAATTTTATAGTATGTGTACAGTGCAACAGCAAAGAGCTTTTTTACATTTTAGAGAAGCCAAGTTGCGATACCGATCAGGACCACATGAAGATGCCAAAAAAACCCTGAACCAACCGCCTGCTGACTGCATGTATATGTATGTGTGTGTCTATATATATATATATGACACATCAAAACATTATCGCGAATGTGTGTGGAAACAACGTGAATGTACGGAAATGTCTGTGCCTGCGCATAAATACAATGTGCGATCAGTGCGT